CATTCCCAGGCAGAGATGCTGGAACAGCATGTTAAATCACCTCTTTAGTCCTCTTGTCAGAGCTCACATCCTGGGGTTACTCATGCCACTCACCCCCCCCCCCCCCCCCCCCGTCACCCTGTGACCTTGCCGGACACATAATCCTACCTAAAAAGCCAGTAAATGAGAACCTGTCAGCTACTGACATCATTTCTGAGATGCTTTATTTTCTGTGGGGTTGATCTGCAGTGGGCAGTGGCTCCTCACACTGTAATTTTAACTCTCTGCCTGCCCAGCCTCTCTGTCAAAGTAGTTAGTGATCAGTAAACAGATGCGGAAAGGCACCAGGGGACCTCACCATTTAAAGGACTCCTGCAGCGAATTCTTTTGTAAAATGAATAATGGCACCCTCATTTATCTACTTTCTAAATTTGGGCCCATGGGGGTGTAGAGGGCATGCCTGTGTGCTGTCGCCAGCAGACAAGCAGAGGGAAGGGAATCTGAGGTTTCCTTCCCCTGCTCTCATGCCACACTCAGGATCCCCTACCATACGCAATTTCCTCTCGCTGTCGTGTGGAAAGCGTTAGAGATGCTCAGCACGCTAAGAGGGCGGCTTTGCTGAAGGCGGGGCTCTGGTGACCTACTGAGAGGTGAGCTCTTTGACTTGGAAGGCAGAGCCGATCTGGGGACCTCTGCTTGGAATGTTTTGTATCCTTTAGAGATACGGTCAGACATCACTACGTTGCCAGGCCAAATGTGCTGTGGCCCAGGAAGTAATCTGGGCAGTTTTTCTAAACCACTTTCAGGTATTTGTCCCTCTGCCGCCCAGCCATTCCTTTAAAAATGAATCTTCTGCCTGTATTTTAAAAAGCCAAGTGAGCGATTAGAAATGTAGTGTGGGCAGCTTTCTTCTCCTCCAGCAGAGGAACGGGAGCTAGGGCTGAGGGCAGGAGCCAGAGGTTGGCCCAGGAGCGGCAGGAGGTGGCAGAATAGGACCATGGGTAGGAGCAGGGTCTGGAACCCCTCACCCTCTAACTGGGAGCCCAAGGAGAGGGGCTGAAAGGAATGTGGGGGTGGGAAGGAATGAAGCCAGTTTCTGCTCCCCGGGACACAGATCACAGAGATCGGAGCATGCTGTGTCTCCACAGAAGCTTCTAGACATTCCTGCCCTGAGCATTAGAGAGGCAGCCCTCCCACAGTTCTTTCCCTTCCCACATCACTTCCCCGAACCCCCTTCCTTTCCCCCCAGTACAGTTAAACCTCTGTAATTTGGAATGTTATATTTGAGAAGATGGCCACTCTGAATAAGTGACAAAACTGAATGACAGTGTCTATTTAATGAAATGCATGTCTTCAAAATATATACAGTAAGTAGAACTCGATGAATAAGGCCCTCAGGGAGCATGTGTGAAAGAATAGCGAGCTTTGAAAAATCTGTTTTCTAGCCTAGGTTAAATATCCCCTCCTACAGACACATTTTCACTATTAATTTGTTTAGTACACCCTTTCTTCACAGATAAAGGAAAACTCGAGCCCGGTTTTTGTTCAAATTATGACAAAATTCCAAATCCATGGGGGTTTGGATTAATGAGGTTTTGCTGTACTGCCTCCCCTTGTTCCCTCAACAGGAAGTTTCTACCTCGGATTGGGGGTGCTCTGGGAGGGGTTCAAAGAGGAAGGTGGGCTGAAGGTGGGCCCGGGATGAAGGGTTAGGTGGGGGGCGAGGCTGGAATTTGCTTCTTTTGAACTGGTTTCCTGGTGTGACTGGGTTGAAGGCCCTGATAGGAGTCTGGGGTGAGGTTCTCTTCTCTCTCTCGTCCCAGAAGATGTAACTTCTACTGCAGGTGAGAAAAAAAACAGGAGGATGGGGTGGGGGGATGTCTGGGAGGAGGAGGTGGGATGTGGGATATGGAATGGGCTGGCTAGAGGGGAGGCCATACTTAGGGGGCTGGCACCCAGGCCCCCGCGAAGCGTCTCAATAAGTCCGCGCTCTCCTCTTTGGTGTCTTGCAGGAGAGGCAGCTTCCCCCCTTGGGTCCAACAAACCCGCGTGTGACGCTGGCCCCACCTTGGAACGGCCTGGCCCCCCCAGCCCCACCCCCCCCACCCCGGCTGCAGATCACCGAGAACGGCGAGTTCCGAAACACCGCGGACCACTAGCCCACCCAGCATCAGACCTTCTCCCTCCCCATATACCCCACCCCGGAACAGCACCAAACCACCAGGACTGGACGTCACCGAGGGACAGCGGGATTGCCTCCCTGAAAGCCTCCTTGGGGGGCACCAGTCCCCCACACCCACTGCACCATTTCCAGGCGGGAGATTGGGGACCGTTAGTTGTCCCCTTTTCCTTCCTGTTGGGGTGCTGCCCCCTGTGACCCCCAGGGACCCTTGCCCCAGGACACCACCTACCCCACACAGACCCCTTCACTCCGGGGTGCTATCCCCATCCTCTGCCTCATCGTTCCCCTGAGCACTGGGGGACAGACCCTCGCCCCCACCCTGGGGGTGTGGCACCTCCAAACTTTCAACTTCAGGGTGATTTTTTAGCAGTAACCAGAGCTGACAATCTTAATTCCCCTCCACCGCCCCATTTTGGCCTCCCCTGTCCCCCTTGTTATGGGGAGGGGACCCCAGGTGAGGGGGCCCTATTACCCCTTGATTTCTCAGGAGCGTCTGGGGGGGCTCAGCACGCACAAACTCCTTCTCCTCCTACCACTCTTAAATTTACGCCCTCCCCACCCAGAACCCAGATGGGGTGGAGGGGCCACCGGGGCAGGGAGGGGGCGGCAAGGGAGGAATGGGAGTTGTCTCCCCTTCTTCCCATACCTGATCTGCTCTTGGCTGGTCCCAGAGCGGGGTGAGGGGGCTTATGCCCCCCCCTCCCCCAGTGTGTTGGGTGGGGTGGAATTGAGGTTAGGGTGAGGGGTTAGGGTTTAGGAGAGTGTGTGTGTTGGGGAGGACAGACTCCTTGATCTGTGCTCCCCTGACACACGCAGTCCCTCCTGCCCCTCCCCTCTCTCTTGGTCTCTACTCCCAGGGGGAGGGGGGAATTTACTCTAGGAAAAGCCATGTCTCTCTCCCCCAGGGTGGGGGGACCTGTGTTGGAGGAGGGGTGTTGGGGGCCCCCTTCCATGACTCTGTTCCCTGGGGGAGGTAGGACAGGGCTGGGCTTCCCTCTCATCCTCCCCCCACCCCCACCCCCAATCTCCCTCCACCTCCCTCCCTCCCGCCAGCTCCACAATTTTTTTCGGTGTTTCTCTGTACATAGCTCTCTGGCGGGATAGGGGAGGTAGGATGGATGGGGTTTGGGGTGGGTAGGTCATGGGAGGGGAGAAGCCCCTCCTTGGAACCCCCTCTTCCCTGACTGCTGTCCCCTACCCAGCCATGCCCCCTCTCCCTTCTTGCGTTTGGTATTGAGATTCTTCCCAGACTCCACCCTTCTTTCTTTTGTATGGACAGTTCCCCTTCAGTCCCATCCCCTACACACAAACACCCAGCCGGGGCCAACTTTATACTTATATAAAAGTTGTAAATATGTGAAATTTTATCCCTGTGCCCTTTCCTTGCTTCCCCAACCTCAGGCCCTATCCCGGGATCCCCTTCCTCCTCCCTTCTTTGGCTGTTGTAAAATTATCTGGGGTTTGTACTGTACATATCCGGGGTGTGTGTGTGTGGGCTGGGGGCAACCCCTCTGTACAGAGCTTCCTGGCCCCCCCTCCCCACCCGACGGCTCCCTCCCCACCCACAACCCTAAGGGTAGGGAGAATATCTTCCTACCTGTTTTATTTTGTTTTCTCGTTCTCCCGCCCCACCCGACCCCCAGCCTTCTCAGCCCTCCATCAGTGTCCCGTTTTCTCCACTCCCAGCCCCAGTTCCTTTTTTTCTGGAGTGTGTGGTGAAACAGAAAACTCATGTTTAATAAACGGAGATTGTTCTTTTATTGCTATGCTGACTTTGCTCGGCTGGGACCACGGGGTGATGGGGTCAGCTTGCCGGGGGGAATCCGTGTCTCCCGAGCATCTCCCGCCCGCCGGGGAGCGTCTCCTGTCGGGGCGGGGCCCTGCCCCGGCCACACCGGCCGCGCTCTCCCCGCGCGCGCAGCAGGAGCGGAGGCCGGGGCGGCGGCGCTGTCCGATGCCATCCCAACACCGGCTTCAAGCAGCCTGGTGAAGCCCGGTGAGGAGGCTCCGCGCAGGGGGAAGGGGATCCGGCACCTGGGCTCACGCGGGCTCCAGCCCCAGCGCTGCCGCTCGCCGGCCTCGGGTCCCCGGGAGCAGGGTGGGGCGCAACCCCTGCCCGCGGGCGGGGGGCGCGGTGATGCGGGCAAAGCCTAGCCCCCCACACACAGTAGGTGCGGGTTACCCTCGGCCTCTCCGCGCTCGCTGGGGAGCAGGCGGGCCCCGCCACCCCGGGTGGCTCGCGGGGCGCCCCGCAGCCTCAGCGCGAGCTCCCGAGCCAGCACCCGCCGCGGGCCGGGCGGGCGGCCTCCCGCCGGCGCCGCCCCCCGCCCGCGCAGCCAATCGGCGCGAGGCTTGTAGAGCCGCGCCTTCCGATTGGCCGCGGCCGAGCCCTCCCGGCGTCGGTGTCCGGCGGGAGGCGGCGGCTTCCGGCCGGGACGGCGCGGCCGCGGCAGAGGCGCTCCGGGGCCGAGCGCGTGCGTCCCGGCGAGGGTGTGGCGGCGAAGGGCGGCCCGCCGGCGCTTGCGGCCTCCGGCGCCCGCGGCTTCCCAGGGGCCGGGCTTGGCGGGCGCGGCGGGGGCGACGAGCGGCGGGCAGGAGCGTCCCGGGCGGCGCGGTCGGGGTCGTGGCCGCGGGACCTCCCGCGCCTCCGCTGGACCTGGACGCGGCGCCGGCCGGTGTGTCGTGTGGTTGGTGGTTTCGCTTTCTTGGCGGGGGCGCGCGCGGGACTGAGCGGCGCGGCCACCACTGACGGAAAAGTTTCCACATTCCGGGGTTCGGGGAGGCGGGTGGTGTTTGAGAGACACGGTTCTCCGAATCCAGGGCTGCCGTGACACACCCCCGTCTGTTTCCTCCACAGCCTTCATTCCGCGTGGAGCCCGCCCCGCCCCGCCACTTGGTCCCCCGGGATCCCGCTCTTTCGGAGAAGGCCATGGATACCTCGACGCCTCTGCCTCCCGTAACCCCCTCCCCTATCGGCTATCCAGCCCCGCGGACCATCCAGATCGAGTTCCCTCAGCACAGCTCATTGCTTCTGGAGTCCCTGAACCGCCACAGGCTGGAAGGAAAGTTCTGTGATGTGTCCCTCCTGGTGCAGGGCCGGGAACTTAGGGCGCACAAAGCGGTGTTGGCAGCTGCCTCTCCTTACTTCCATGACAAGCTTCTCCTGGGAGATGCTCCACGTCTCACTCTGCCCAGCGTCATTGAAGCTGATGCCTTCGAGGGGTTACTCGAGCTTATTTATTCAGGGCACCTCCGCCTGCCACTGGATGCTCTCCCTGCCCACCTCCTTGTGGCCAGTGGCCTCCAGATGTGGCAAGTGGTAGATCAGTGCTCAGAGATTCTCAGAGAACTGGAAACTGCAGGTGGTGGAATTTCCACCCGTGGAGCAACACTTCTCTCCACCACAACGTCTGCAGGAGGCTGGTGCATTCGCTCTTCCCCTTTCCAGATCCCAGGGCAGTCTTCTGCTTCTACTGAGAGCCCAGCTGTAGGGGAGGGCAGCGACCTGGGAGAGATTTTACAGATTAAAGTAGAAGAAGAGGAGGAGGAGGAAGAAGAAGAAGATGAGGACCAGGGGTCGGCAACACTCTCTCAGACTCCTCAGCCCCAGAGAGTACCAGGGGGTCTTCCCCACCCTCATGGGTCCCACCCACTGCCCATGTCTACCACTCCCCACAGGCTTCCAGAAGGTGAAAATGCACCCCTTGAGCAGCCTCCTCCTACACTGACCCCCAAAATCTTCTATATTAAGCAGGAACCCTTTGAGCCTAAGGAGGACAAATCGGGAGGTGAAACTCAGTCTGGAGGTGTAAAGGAGGAGACCAAGGTGTTTCCTGGAGGGTATACAGAAGGAAATGGGGAGCGAGGGTTCTTATTGCCCTCAGGAGCAGGGGCCACCGCTGGGGGAGGTGGGCCATCCTGGAAACCAGTGGATCTTCATGGAAATGAAATTCTGTCAGGGGGTGGAGGACCTGGGGGTGGGGGGCAAGCTGTACACGGACCTGTGAAACTAGGGGGGACACCCCCTGAAGATGGAAAACGCTTTGGTTGCTTGTGTGGGAAGCGGTTTGCAGTGAAGCCAAAGCGAGATCGGCACATCATGCTGACCTTCAGCCTTCGGCCATTTGGCTGTGGCATCTGCAACAAGCGCTTCAAGCTGAAGCACCACTTGACAGAGCATATGAAGACCCATGCTGGAGCCCTACATGCCTGTCCCCATTGTGGTCGTCGGTTCCGAGTCCATGCCTGCTTCCTTCGCCACCGGGATCTATGCAAGGGCCAGGGCTGGGCCACTGCTCACTGGACTTACAAATGAAGACTTAGCCCATACACTAACTTCTGGACAAACAAGCTACTGTGGCTAATGGGTATATACCCCTCACTACATGTCACCCCAGTCTTGGATATTGTGATCAGGCCAAGAGGATAGATAAATGATGAACCTCTTGTTCTGGGCCATGGGGCTCAACTTGGTAGATTTGGAAACTCAGATTTCTGATCTAACCCCAGGTTTTGCTGATTACCCAGCAGGAAAGTGGTTTACGGGCTGTCCGTAAATTGATCATTTGCCCATAGTAGACCTGTTCGTATAAGAAACCTAATTTCAGATTAGAAGTTTATTGGGTGAGAGAAGAGTTAGAGCAAAAAGACATAATGGCAGATGTTTCATTTAGTCTCCGCAAGGAGTTAAAGGAGCTGGTCTCCATCTAGGGGTGTGTTTAGTTTAGCATTCTAATAATTCAGAGACTAAGCTGTAAGCTCTGCACGCGCTCTCCACTGAAATAGCGTGAGCAGCGTTCTTTCTATGTACTTTCGTTGTATTTTTCTGAAGCCCCTCAACGTTATAACTTCACCAGTAGCTTCCTTCCCAACACCTTTACTTTTTATGTTGTAGTTGAGCACTTTAACAAATTGGACATTCCACCTGTCATTCCTAGGACCCTCTTACTAGAGGGTATTCCCCCTATAGCCTGTGCCTCTTGTCTACCTTTGACCACCACTGATCACTCACATTGATCATGGTGACTGGACAGCATCCAGTGAACTCAGGAGATGGCCACTGACCTCAGTGCTCTCAGGGTAGCGCCACTGCTCTGAATGCGTGGCCGTGGTCAGAGGGACTCAGGGCTGAGGCAGCACATGCGCAGTGGGACCACCCCCCCTCCCTGCCCACCGCCACCCACACATGATCGGGGATAGCCCCTTGTTGAGAGGTGAAAGGGTAGATAATGAATAGTGAGATTGTTGCAGGTTACTTAACTTCTTTAAATAAACTTTGCCCTGGAATCTAAGCTGACAATGGATTGGATTGAGTAATTTGTATGGGAGAGACAATATCAGAACAGAGCTGCAAAGAACTGGGTTGTATTGATAGGAGAAGGATGGGATGGTGTCACACGGGTGCACATAACACTGTCCTGGATATCAGTGGGCCAGTTGCTAGGCCCTGACCTTTCACCAAATAATCTCAATCCTCAGTTCAGGGTCTGAACTGTTACCTTTTATTTTTTGGTTTTGGTGTTATGCATCTACTGGTTCTCTCTTTTTTTTTAATTATCTGGGGTTGCTTTCCATGATCTTTACCTGTAGTATTACTAACTTCATTTTTATGTATTATGGTTGGTTTTGCTTGGTTTATTCTACAAATATTTAGTGCATAGCACTATACTAAATGCTGATTTGTATTCTGCCTTCAAAAATTTACAGCTAGTAGCAGAGCTGCAGCTACTAGTAACAGATAATGACAATGTGGTGTAAATCCATGATAGTACAAGCTACTGTAGTGGCACAAAGGAAACCAAGCAAAGTCTCCCATTATGGGACAGCTAAATTGGAGTGGAGATGTTGAACATAGGAATTGAAGTCAAAGCTTTCCGAAGTATCCTTTCCAAAGTATCAAAAATTACCAGGTATGTTTCCCAGAAGGGACTGAAAAGTGGGACTTTATGACTGAGAAGGTGAATTCTAGCTGGATTTTGTCAGCCTCTCAAAAGCACCATGTGTAGTCCCATTCCTGTGGTAAGGAACACATTGAAAAGGTGGAAGGGCTGCCAATTTTGGATCCTTTATGGTCCCACCCACCTGCCATTTTTGACACACAGTCTGTAGGTGGTTGTATTCATTGGCCGGGATCCTTTGGTTGCAAGCAACGGAAGCTGGCTCTGACTAACCTTATCAAAACAGGAACCTATGGAAGGATGTGGGCAGACTCCTGGAATGAAGAACCAGCCTTTGGAAGGACAAGACCTGAGTAAGTCGCAGGGTTTCGAGGAGCAGAGGGCCTAGGGAACCTAAGATATTTGCTTGGGGATGGTGATCCAGTCATTCTTGTGTTACTCAGGAGTACCTTGGTCTTATGTACGGTGAGACAAAGAGGGTGTGGAGTCCTCAGGGGGAAATGCAAACCCTGGGACAATAGAGTGGGGAATGGGTGCTGGCCAGCTCATGGGAACAGAGGCCCACCCCAGAAGAACACATGTACCCATCTTGAGATCCTTAAACCTCAGATATACCAGGCACTTGGTAAGTGTTCAAAAAATGTTGAACCTGCCCAACTTCTACCTCTGCCCTCTGAACTTAAGGCAAAATTGCTCCCTCCCTCTCCTTAATAGCCAGCCCTGTGCTATTCTATAAAGCCAATTAAAATACCATGTTAGAGGGTATCTAAGTTACTAGATATTATACAGAAAATGAGCTCCATGATGAAAGATTTTGGTTTAAACAAACTGTAATTCTCTGCCTCAGTCCTTGCCCTCTTATAGTGGAAAAGATGTCCCTCCTACTGTCCAAGGCTAGCCCCTTACTCAGAGACTTTGCTCTGTTTAATTTTCCTCTGGCTGTACTTTTGCTTTCTCTGTCTTTGTAGTTCTCATTAGCATTTCAGCATGCTCATGGAGTTGTGAGAATTCATGCAAAATGGGTAGAAAAGTGCCTTACACTCAGTAATAAATAAATGCTATTTACCGTGAGTGAGAACATTGGTCAGGTCTCAGGAAGGGATCACATACATAAAGGGAAAATATTTTCAACAAAAGGAAATAAGATAATACAGCGCTCAGGTTAGAAGTTATCATGGTCACTAATACCTTTCTCATAAACTTAGAGTTCTCTAGGGTTCTTTTTGCCCTTTTCTAACTTTGTACACTCCTAGGTGATTTTATACATTCTTCTGAATTACGCCTTTTAAATACTGATGTCCCTTAATTTTACATCTCCAGTTTTCCTGACCCACTTCTTTCCTTTAACAATAAGTGCCTGCTGTGTACCAGGCACTGATGAAAAGAGCAGAAGGCATCATAGAGGCTTGGGCTCTGGATTGTTGCTTTAAGAGACAGATGTTTAAACCAGATGCATAGGTACTTCACAGACACTCAAGCTCAGCACCCCACCTCTAGTCATCTGCTCCTCCATTATTTCCAGATTTGGTAATGGTTCCACCAATCACTTAAAAGTCCAAGATTAAACCCTGGAGTGCTGCTGGTCATCTGTTTCATCTCCCATACCTCTCCCACCAATACTGTCTTCTAAATATATCAAATTGCTACATTCCTTCATTCTCAATGCTGTAACCTCCTAATTTGTTCTGTGTCTTCTGTCTTATTTCCCTCCATATGTCACTTCGTGTCGTTATGGCCAGTCCAATCTAAAGTAAAAAAGTACTGTTTCACTCTCCAGTTTGACCGTGTCACTGGCTTCCTCTTTGAAGCTCAAATGACCTGGTTTCAATGACTATGGTTTTTCCACTCTACTGTCTCCCCTAGGCCTCTGCTTTTTCTACTTTCCATGCTCCTTTCTATCTAGAATAACTTTCTGTCCCTCAGTGGTCTGCTTCGGTCCTATTCCTCTCAGAGTGGGAGAGATAATAGTAGGAGAAATTAACGGCCTAATTCTTACTTGCTTTAGATAGCAGCTTAAATATCATTTCCTTTAGAAATTGTCCAACCATTATGCCAGGATCAGACATCTCCAGTGTGCTTTATTTCCCCACATCATATAATAAGTTGCTCTTATTTCCCCATATTATAAAACTTGCAGTTTCCTTTATTCCAGGAATAAAATGCCAGGTACACACTATTATCCTTTGTATGTGGGTACCGTTTTAGTCACGATGAACACTCTTTGCCTATAAGCTTATATTCCAGTAAAGGAAATTACCTGTAAAGGAAATAAACCAGAGGGCCTCCCCGGTGGCGCAGTGGTTGAGTGCTGGGTTGCAAAGCTGCCTGCAGCCTCTACAGCGCCAGTTCGATCCCTGGCCACCAGGTGAGGGTCCCACATGGCGCGCAGACCTCTCCTGCCGCCTGCTGCTCCCCTCAGCAGTGTACTTCGGTCCTTCTGCTTGCTCTGCTCCCCACTCTGGCTCTGGTGAATTCTCTCACCCTCTTGCGCTTCTGACTGTACCCAGTGCTTGTATAAATAAATAAATAAATCTTAAAAAAAGAAATAGGCATTCTCTTATAAAAAAAAAAAAAAAGGAAATAAAACCAGATAATAAGGTGGAGAATAACAGAAAAGGATGCTTACTGTATACTTTGATCTATTGTACATGAGAAAACAAAGTCCCAATGTGTAAAGCAGGGCAGGGGAGATGGGTCCAGTTAGGAGTTTAGCAGATGCAGAAGTCTAGAGTGAGAAAGAGACTTGCATGTTTGATGAGGGAAACCAGTGGACCTGGAGCTCTGGGGGAGTGAGATGTGTCTCAGATCTTTTGGGCCGTGCCACCAGAGACCAGCAACTTACAAGCTGCAGAAATTTCTGAGTGGTCTGGAGAGTGGCAAGGCCAAGAGCAAGATGCCAGCAGATTCAGTGTCTTATGAAGGCCTGCTTCCTTGTTAACAAGTGGCATACTTGGGTTAAAGCTGCTTCATTTAGGGCCTCCCCTGGTGGCGCAGGCTGTTGAGCACAGCGCTGTGCAACTGTCCGCAGCCTCTGCAGAGCTGGTTAGTTCCCGGCCAGTCCGCAAGGGTCCCACATGGCGCGGCAGACCTCTCCTGCCTTGCCCGCTGTTCCTCTCAGCAGTGTATTTTGTCAGTCTGCCTGTTCTGTTTCCCCTCTGTCTCTGGTGAATCCTCTCACCCTCCAGCGCATCTGGCCTTATATAAATAAATAAATAAATAAATAAATAAATAACTGCTACATTTACAGGTAGGATCCACACAGGACATTCTAACGAATTAGGTTTTGGGGAAGCAAAGCAAAGCAAAGCAAACACCTCTAGTGTTTTGGCTTGAGCAACTAAATCATAGGCCAACCATAGCAACTAAATCATTGAGCAACTAAATCATTTTATTAGTGGACTAGAACTTAGTTGTGGAGCAAGGGCTTTGTTTGACCAGAAGTTATCCAAGTGGGTGGCTGGATGTGTTTGTAGAGGGTTCTAGACCAGGGGATGGCACACTTACTCTACAAAGGATCAGATAGTAAACATTAGGCTTGCATGCCTAGGAACAAAATCAAGGTTTGCATATATAAGTACTTAAAAAGTAAAGAAAGCAAATTTCCAGTTTTTTTTGTTTTTGACACAATTCAAAATAAAATAATTGACTACAATTTTTGATGATATAGGTCTACCGTTTAATTAGGGCTGAAGTTAGTGTTCCTTATCATCAAAATCAATTGCAAATGTCCATCTGTTAATGCCGATCTGTAATGAGCTTTTACATATTTCATCTTTGAAAATGTCTTCACACAGAGAGTTCTGCCAAATACAGATATCAATCAAAGAACATATGATTTTAATTGAGCGTATTCATCACTTGAAAGGCATTTATAGGATTCTATTATATTCTTCTCTTGATACTTGCCTTTTGTCACATCATTATTTGTAGATTAATCACACCCAGTTGAAGGTTAGGTTGAAGTCCTCAATTGTACAATTAAATGAAATATAAAAATCTCCTTTGAACTTACACTGAGGTCCAAAAACCACTGCTGGAATTGCACTTCGAGCTTAGAAAATATATCTCTGCAAATTTTTGGAGGAAGTACTTCCTTTTAAACTTTTGATAGCACAGAAAGTATATATGCAGTTTGAGTTTACCTGGGGTTCTTTTGCTACAATGTAAGTTTTGCATTATATTTTAGGTTAAATTTGTTAAGGAACATTATCACTTCTGCATCAAATTTCCACCAACAGAAGAATGGAAAACAAAATGGAACACATGCTTGCAGTGGAACATTATTTAGCCTTGGAAAAGAAGGAAATTCTGATACATGCTACAACATGGGTGAAACTTAGCACATCCTAAGAGAAATAAGTTAGTCACAAAAGGATAACTAGTGTTTGATTCCATTTATATGAAGGACTTCGAGACTTAAATTTATTGAGTCAGAAAGTTGAACCCTGGTTGCCAGGGGCTGGGGAAGTGAAGAACGTGGAGTTAGTGTTTAATGGGTGCAGTTTCAGTTTGGGAAGATGGAAAAGGTTCTGTGCATGGATGGATGGTGGTGATGCTTGCCCCAGTATGAATGCACTGAATGCTGTACAACTAATAATAGTAAAAATGGTAAGTTTTATGTATATCTTACTATCATAAATGAACCACTAATGGTTCTAGGCATTGAGCATCAGTGACTGCTAACACCACAAAAAAGAAACAATCAGAAACACTACGTGTTTCTTATGGAAAACATCACCACCTATGAATTAGTCTTGCTAAAATATTGAGCTTATATGTGATCAAGTCTTGAAATATAACTATCAATTTATAGAAAAGGCAGAGGGAGAGAAATGTGTTAAACCATATCACAGTGGTATAATCAACAAAATTGAGACCGTAAGAAATTCTAAGGAATAAATGACTCATTTTCTTCACCAAAAAAATTATAAGGGTAAAAAAGAGATGGCGGGGGCCTCTCCCGTCGTGCAGCAGGTTGAGCTCAGTGCTATGAAGCTGTCTGCAGCCTCTGCAGCGCAGGTTCAATTCCCAGCCAGCCAGGGAGATTCCCACATGGTGTGGCAGACCTATCCTGTCTTGCCTGCTGCTCCCCTCAGCAGTGCTTTCTGCCTGTTCTGCTCTCCACTCTGTCTCCTCTGGTGAATGCTCTCACCCTCCTGTACCTCTGGCCTGTATCCCAGCTATTGTATAAATAAAAAACAAATCTAAAAAAAAAAAGAGATGGTGGAAAACCTGTAGTTTAAAAGACTTTAAATGACAGATTAATTGATCATAATATGTGAACCTTATTTGAATCATAGTTTTAAAAAAATATTAAAAAAAAGCATTTATGACCTTTATGAAACAACTGGAGACTCAACCATTGACTGGACATTTGATGATAGTAAGGAGTTATTTCTAAATTTTTTAATTGTGAT